CAAATGTTCTCGTTATCTTCTTTCACCCTCTTATGACATCTTGTATTGATTGCCTTGTTACTTTTGGCAATTTTAAAGTAACAGAATTTTGCCAATAATTTTTTTCCGACTTAGGGCCACATGGCTTTCAGAACCAACCGAAAAACCAACACTCTTTTATGTGGTAATCTTTTCCCAGTAAATTCCATGGATAAAGACTTTTCGAGTCTGCAAAAGCGCACATCGCAAGGATGCACTTTGGCAATAATGAAACAACTTGACAAACTTAACTTTTAGCCATGTTCCTTTCAGTTGGATAACTAGACCGCATGTAGATAAGCCTTCAGGCCGTAATCATTTTTTGCCGGAGAGAGTGCTGTTTTCCATGCCCAATTCAGACTGGTGTAAACAGAGAGGTGGTCAACCCTTGACTTGGCAGAGGAGTATGAAGGAGATCATGGAACGCTTGCGTGCTTTTAGTGCTACTCGCCTTCCAGGATAGAGACCGCGTGATCCTTACTGTGCCAGGTTGGAGACACTACAAGATATGGCTGCCAACCGATGTCAGTGGCGTTCTTGTTGTCAGTTTCTATCCAGATTGCCTGAGTGAATGTCTGGAGTTATGGACACCTCAGAATGATTGTGGTAAGCTAGCACTAAGTCCTTCCTCCGTCCACCTTTGCTCTTTTCTTTACAATAAGGCTTTCAAATAAACCACGGTTGTACGGCAGTGAAGCGTCGATGTTGAACACTGATGTCATGCTGTCGATGATGACAGTTATCGGTATGTGCTGCACAAGGTATAAATCCGTTTATTGTTTCCTCCCACCACTCAGTAAAGAGCAATTCTAAGTAACACTGTGGACTAGGATTGACTCCTCGTTCCATTCCAGGCTTGCAGCAAAACGAATATCAGAATTTTTTGGGATATCAATACCCCCCAAAAAACGCTGTATTTTTATATGTGCCAGCGAACTTCCGGCATCTTCAAGGTCAAACTATGAATAAATCAATGGCCTATTGATATTCCAAGAAATTTAAATCCGACGACTTATTACACGATACCATCTTTTTACTGACTTGAGTTCGGAAGCTCGGGACATCGCCTGTTGATCGCGTGGTTTTGGATCATTAAAGTTTGTGTCCGAGGTTTTTCGTCTTTTTACTATCCGCCGTGCTAGGAGTTTGGATCAAGCAACATAGCTGGGAATAGAGTATTGCTACAATCCGCATATCATATTGTTTGCTCGCTGCGTGACCGAACCGTAACAAGTGGCGATTGCTCCCAATGGCAAAACTTTATCTGAAAAACCTAGATCAACTCGAGTGTTGGTGAATTACCACACGTAAACAGTAAACACGGCCTCGTGCCCAAGGCAAATTTGGGTAATTCTTAGTTCACTGCCTTGATAACAGAGAAGTTTCTAAGGCCTTGCTAGACTGTCCTATATTGTTAACCCCGGAAGAATCTCCAATAATTATGTTCACTTGGGGATATGACGATAGTACCAGTTAACTCAGGAGAACAACGAATCAGATGAGAACTTTTCATTGAGTTGTCTAGTAGATTTCGATTCACTATGTCAGCTTTGAATTTCTGTTAAGTGTATACCGGAGAAGTTTATTTTTTGTAGAATGTTTTAGAACATGTCCTCTTCCATGTCACAGAATCCCTTGGCGGAGTAATGCTCAGCAACCTAGTTCCTAGTGGCATGTTGTGTTGACCAAACAACTCGGCTAGGAGAATAAGAAAATCGAAGGGGTTTCGTTCATTGGTTGGCCATCTACGTAACTGTTAGTGTCACATAACTATTGTCTCACAACAGCTGCACGCAGTGTTAAGGTCACGAACATTAGACTGTTGTGCTCCCCCTTACGGAGAAGGAGGTATCTTTAAGTGGTTCAGCCAGCAAGTAAACGGATTTACCGGTAGATTCATTACAGTTCTTTCTAAATTACATTGGTTCAGCGAGCTGCCGGTGTATTATGCTAAGATAAGGAAAAGTGCAGTATTATGAGTTCACGTTATGCTATTGGACGTACTCAGAATTACAAGAATCCAAACTGTGAATAGAACTCTCCCAAGAGATAACGGCATTGACGCCAGCTCGGAATAACCGCGCGAGAGTAAATTCAAAAACTGATCTTTTTTAACAAAATTAGACAAAGGTTACCAGGTCTGGACATTCGCCTCACGGGTCACAGTTCGAATTGTGGTTTCTTAGTGGAACTTAGAACGAGTTCAAGTGGACGTTTACGGGGTGCGGCTATTCGGGATTCCCAGTTGCGGTAACAAAATCTGCGGGGTCGCTCCATTGCAAATTCTCCGGACCTCACCTAGTAGGAGCCCATTAACCGCACAACGCTCTTAGCTAAAAAACTTTATGTGTGGAGTAAAACTTTTGCACTAAAACGTTGGACTTTGTTGCGTATTTGCTCAAATTGAAAACTATCTCAATCTACGCTCATATTTTTGCAGTCCGCCAAATTTCATCTGCCACTGATGCAATCTTACCTCGGGGAGAAATATCTTGTGGAATAAGTTCCCAGCATCGCTGAGACCCCGGGATGCCTAAATGGGGATCAAAAACTTAGACTAGTGTTCTGGGCTTAATTGCCCGGTTGCTTTAACCCATCAGGGAAAGTCTTAGCTTTCGAAAATTCACCACCATTGTGCGAATACCGTGCACCTACTTGTTGTGAACTAAAGAATTTTCTAGTGTGTAAGGAGATCTCTGTTCGGATCCTAATTGCTCACTAGTTTGTCAACCTTCCGTCATGGTTTTTCTTCTTCTGTCTTTTGTGCGAACTTCCCCACAGTTTGTGCGGCAAAGCCTCAAGTATAACATTGTTCAGAAAATTCTGAAAGTTGCCACGTGCTCGCCCCAAAGGAGCCAGCGAGCAGGCGACCGGACCAACAGCTGTTCAAAAGGATTTGTATGTAGCATAGAACAGATCACAAATATTCTTCAAGAGGGTAACTACATGAAACACGTAGTATGGGCTGGTATTTGGTAAGACAGGGAACTTCTGTAAATCAGAAGTCCGACAATAAAATACACAAAAACAGACCGCGATACTAGATCTCGCCCGGAAAAGCACAAGTACGCTAGTTGAGTACGTACGGCATCGCCGAAGAAAGAATCCAACTGTCTTCCACTTGAAGCACAGGAAGAGGGGACCTTTGAGTGGCGGATTAGCGCTATCTGAGGCAAATATAGAATAACTTGCATGAATGTGTGCTGCCCCAGCAAACTCATCAGATTTATTCTTGTTAGGGATTAATTCTGAAAGGTCTCTAACAGACTTACTAGTAATGGAGTTGAATATTCGTTGACTCTTGCACAATACACACCTCTTCAGCCGGTTGAGTATAGATCAGGTTCATACTAGGATCCCGAAAGAAATGTTACTCAGATTGACAAACCAATCCCGCACGGCGTTTTGTCACGTGATTGACAACGGCAAGTTACCCATGCTTGGAGCGGGGTGATTGTTATGTCAATAAAAAAATGGAGACCATCTGTTGCTTGGCAGTGAAATTAATAATAGTTTTGTTTTCTAACTTGTGGGGAACGTGCCAACCGAGGCATGATAAGGTATAGCGGTGACGCACCGTCATAGCACTGATATACTCCAAATTCTGGACAGCCGAGCAACGGAGGTAAAAGTAGCTGCATTTGATCTGGGGAGAAGCATGATTATGGCGCCTGTATCTTGGTTAGAAACGGGGTTGACGCAGCCGGGCCACTAAGGGTCGAAAGTAATTTCGATAGAGATTGTGGACCATGCAGGTGTGAGCCAAGGGCCAACCAGATGGAATGAGTGGTGGTCATACGCTGCGGTTGCAGGAGCTACTGCCGAATTTCGAGGCTTAGGCAGAAGGGGTTAAGAAAGGAATGGGATGAGAACACTAGCGTCCGGTGCGTACTAAGAAACATTAGCCTTTAAGAGAGTGTATTTGTGGCGGGTGACCCTGCAGCCAGAGACAAGTTGAGGGTTGTATGTGGGCGCAATGAATAACTACTAGTGGGGTTTGGGGTTCTGTCCGGTGCGTTTACAGTACATTCAGATAGCGACGAAAGCGATTGTCATTGCCTGAGCTGCATTGAACGTCAGGCCGCCAGAGGGCACATGGCCAGGTCAAAAGCTGTTGCGTAGTTTAAGGAAGGTGTGGACATAGAGACCGAGGTAGCAAGCAAGAGGGTGAGTAGGTGGATTGATCAACTGACAGTTAGAAGTTTCATAATTGAGCCACTCGGTATTGCTTCTGATCTATCCTGGCGCGCTTCCAAGGTTGATATGTTTTCCTTCTGCTGCGGTTTTTAACCGAAACCATTTGCTCCTTTGACCAGCCTGAACATTCGACTAACGACTTCTTTGGGCACATTCGAAGTCCGTTTAAGGCTGCTAACTAACTTTGCGTGGGGCTAGAATCAATCTTCTCAACATGACACACTCGAACTCTCCTTTTCCGCTGAAATGTTTATGATATTTCCTAATTTGAGGCCCTCCATTTTGTTTGATCCGACTGTATTAAGGATAGCTCAAAACACGTAACTACCTTCAACGTCTGTTCCGCTCTATACATTTCTGGATTATTCTTATCTAGCTTCTTACGGATTACTGACTTGGTCGTTGTCATCACGTTGAGTGTATATCTTTTGTACTAATATTGGTTAACTTCTCAAATTTTGGAGAACGTGCCAAATGGAGCCCGATCGGTCGCTACAGCCTTGTCACGGCAAACAACAACGCAACAGAGAGGAAGGTAAAAACGGGACATGCTCATTAGGTGAAAAACTACAGCAGCTGTGTGTTACCAGAACGGAACTGTTAATTGTCTAAAAATGTCGCCTTAACTACGGACTGATCGTTTCTGGTCAATTCTCACATTCTGCTTATATTTGTCGTCACCACACGTTCAGCCACCAGATTGATCGTGCTGAGTCCCTACTGATTTATCCTCGTTCCGCTGTCACGTGTGACTCCTATTGGTCGTTGCATTTCGTTATTTTTCTGCTCGATCGTGCATAAATGTTGGTCCCTATTGGTTATTCGGTTGAAGAGAAAGTCTCAGCCAATTCATGCCATTTTTTCCTATGTATATAAACCGCTTTACTTCGCGGAGAAAAAGACCTGTTCCTGTGCTCGACTTTGACTTCTTCCTTACACGAGTTGACGGGTTACCTCCGGACGACACAACACTGTGGGAACCGAAAAGACCAGGATAATGGGCACGCGGTTCGACTAGCTCAATGATGAAGCCGGCTGATATGAACTGAGGCTGAAAACCGTTGCTTGCCATGAGTGACCTTGAGCGGTTTTTTATTCACGGATTCACGGATTGATACACAGGATCGAGGCTTTTGCCCAAGTCTCCCGGGTCGGTTTTGTTCTTGTCGGTCAGTGGCTGTCGTTCACCTGAAAGGCACAAGTGAAAAAAGGGTGTAGCACTGCTCTTTATGTTCTCAGCGCGGGGCAGTATGCTCGCCAGCGCGAGGATTCGCATAAATAAATGTCTAATAGTGCTTTAAATTGGGTTCGAGAAGGAGCATGTACAACCGTCGG